AATATCCAGGAAAACCCTGCAGTATATCGGGTTCTTTTTCCAACACGACTTTAGCTTTGTTATTTTGGAAACCTGCTTTCTTGAAACAATTTTGTATGGTTGCAAGCTTAATTGCTTACCATGCCGCTGCAATGTTTAGGTTGGCATCATACACAGTCAAGGGTCGTTTGCTGTCAGCATCTTTCATTACTTTACGATAGCAATGTATCAATCATGTTATGTAGCCTTTTTCAAGGACTTATAATCTGATCCATCGGTTGCGACTTGCTTGTCGTATTTGTAGGTAAGGAAACAAGCTTGATGTTCTTTAGCTCAACATCTTTAGGGTGTAGTTATCAATGGAGAGAATTATGCGTGCTACTCGGCTCGGCTTGGGTGTTGCACAGATGGTTTATTAGACGGGATGACAAATCATATTAAGCGTGTATTAAAAATGTATGAAAATATACCTCAAGTTGCAGGGACTGATATGAAATGGCGTATTATGCGGGAAATCGTATTAAACATGATTGTATTAAGCGAGTTTTACTGTATATGTTAATCAATAGTACAACATGTTTATCAATTATAATATACTACGAAAAGAACTCCGCTCCAACCGAGTATTCCACGACACTCACACATGTTTTATTGTATAAAATTAGGGTAGCATTAAATTAAATATTATACCTGCAGACTAAACATATGACTGATTTAAATAACAACTTCACTTCCTAACTGTGATGTTTATCCTACTAGCAAAAGATGTACAGAGTCAGAAGAACATTATGTACTATGTATAGTTGTGTAGAGAAATCCACTACTCCATATTGTCGCATGGGTGTCATAAGAAGCAACAGAGAGATACTGAAAAACAAGATGGGCAGCATGTTGTATGCTATTTGTATCAGCAAAATACCTGATGTTGCCCACCTACCTGCCAAGCATGGCAACTATGACAAAGATCCTCCCTATGAGGCAATCTATAGGGGTGGTGTATGTTCAGCTGTGGAGTTTGATGGACTGTAATGATGATGATGATAAATGTTAAAATACTTTATGTTTTCATCTCTAATATACAAATTACTCAGATATCAAAAGGTTAACTATTTTTTTATGTGGTAGAGCCATGCTGCAGCTATATTATGGTTGTAGCACAAATGGGTCCGCTCAACCGGGGAAGGACCACACTCTCACAAAACACCAGCGTAGAATAGCAGCTTAATTCTGCTGTGTTTCATATGGTAAATGTATAGAACTTGAGACTTTTTACTAAGTCTAATACTAGTCCTAAGGGGTGGCAACAAATTTCTATTTTTATTTTGACATAAATTCAAGATTGAAATAACACTAAACTATTAAATTATTTTTGATTTTTTACGAGACTATACAAATATGAGTAGGTACTACAGAAGGATTTGTATCCATTGAGTATTACTTATGTTAATTATAGATGTAAACAAAGTTTTACTTAGATTTGTGTCAAAATATTTAAATTCTCTTAACTCTACTCAAACATTTCAAACTCATAATTATAATGATGTTTGTCTTTTATTTCTTCTATTATATAAGGCATATATGGAAAGACTTTCCATTGACGTCAGTCGAGTTTGGTGTTGATACGTATTTTTACAGAAAGATTACATTTTTATAAGCACACACACAAAGTTTCAATATGTGGAAACACATACTTATTCAGAAAAAAATATTGTAAATCAAATAATTTTGCAATATTTAGTCAATTCCTACCGTGAAACTGACGCCATTTTTATTATTATTGACAGTAGGGATGTCGATTCTTTCCGAAAAAGATCGATTTTTTAAATAGATTCGAATTGTAAGCTGATGTATCGATTCCCAAAAAATCGATTTCTAAAATATCTATATTTTTTTCATGTTTGCATTAATAATGTAAATATAAAACCATTTTATGAGAAAAAAATCCCCTTCATCATAAAAAAATAAGGGGACTGATTCAGAAGGATTTCTGTATCTATTTTGAGACTGCTACGTCTCCGGCTCTATAAAACCACTCTAGGGGTAGGACAGACTCGTACCAGGTGGAGTCGGGGTCAATCAATTCGGTTCTTTGACATAAGTTGAACCTAACCTATTTTATTTGTTATCTGCCCTAATAGGTACTGTTAAATAAAACAAATTTCAATAAGAGATCATTTATCATGGTATCTTTCTTGTTTTTCATAAAATGGGTTTATATTTACATTATAAATAGAAACATTAAAAAAATATAGATATTTTAGAAATCGATTTTTTGGGAACCGATACATCAGCTTACGATTTGAATCGATTTAAAAATCAACCTTTTTCGGAAAGAATCGACATCCCTATTGACGTCGACAATGACATTACAAAATGGCGCCAGTTTTATGGTAGGATTAGACATAAACATTGCAAGAATAATTGATTTTCAATAATTCTTTTCTCAAAAATTATGCGTTTCCGCATGTTGAAACTTTGTGTGTGCTTATAATAGTGTAACTTTTCTGTAAAAATACGTATCAACACCAAACTCGACTGACGTCAATGGAAAGCTAAGCCGTATATATAAGTATAACCCACCCCCAACTAGGTGAATTTATATAACTTGTTTATATTGGTGACTTACTCACTTACTTATCTTCACGCACAATCCCTGACGGGGTAGCCAGAGAGAACAGATCGCCAAGTGTCACGATCCTTACATATCTCTTTCGCTTCTTTCAGATTCATTATCTTCTTCATACATGCACGTCTAGGTATCCGAGTACTCTTGACCCTACCCTCTTCGAGCAATTTGCTCACATGGTCTTCGAAAGTTAGTCTCGGTCTACCTCGACACCTTTTAATATTAACTTTCGCGCTATATATTTTCTTCACCATTCGGTCTTCACTCATTCGCTCAACGTGCCCAAACCACCGAAGCACGCCCTTATCAATTTTTGTGATAAGGTCATCTTTCAAACCTGCCATATTGCGAATCTCTTCGTTTCGCTTTCGGTCGGCCATAGTAACGCCGCACATTTTACGAAGAGATCGCATCTCCACTGCATTCAACTTACTTTTATGCTTCTTCTGGCATACCCAGGTTTCGCTGCCATATAACAAAGTCGGTACCAACACTGCGTTATGTATTGCAAGGCGTGCACTCTTCGCTACGCCTTGCCTTTTGACTAACGCAGTCAGGGCACCATTGACTTTGTTCCCGGCAGCGACACGCCTGTCCACATCTAAATCACATCTTCCATCCCGGCTAAAAGCACTCCCCAAGTATACAATTTCATTTACCTGTTCTAGACATTCCTGATTTACCCATATTTCACACTTCGTTCTCTCTTCGTCCCTTTCAAATACCAGAACCTTAGTTTTATTAGCATTCAAACGGAGACCTTTAATTTCACATTCCTCTTTCATACACGTGACTAATGCCTGCAGTTCTGCCTCTGATGGTGCAATAAGCACTGCATCATCAGCATACAGCAGACAATTTACTTTTATGTCACCCAATTTCACACCCAAACAGCTATCTTTCAGCTTTTGTAAACAGCTGTCGAGATACAGTATGAACAGCCAGGAAGACATGACACAACCCTGTTTTACGCCCGTTTGGACGCCAAACATGGGTGACAGGTCATGCCCTACCCGCACACAGGCTTTACAGTCACAGTAAAGAGACTGCACAGCCCTTAGCAATCGGCCATCCACACCATACCCCGGCAACATTTCCCACATTTTCTTCCTTACAACCTTATCAAATGCTTTCTCAAGATCCACAAAAGCACAGAAAATCTTCTGGTTAACAGCAAGAAGCTTTTCCGTGATCATACGGAGAGAAAACATTTGATCCGTGCATCCTCTTCCAGGTCTAAATCCGCATTGTGCCTCCCATAGAAATCTTTCCGATTTCTCTTGCATCCTACGTGTCAAAACCTTCGAGTAAACTTTACTTGCTAAACTGGTCAAGCTGATCGCCCGATAGCACCCGCAGTCAAAATGTGAACCTTTACCTTTATATAAAGGCACAATGACTGCGGATCGCCAATCATCCGGGACATCCCCCGTCCGCCAGCACAAATTACACAGCAGACGAAAGCTGTCCCAGACGCGAGGCCCACCATACTTGACCATTTCAGCAGTAACTCTGTCTAGTCCCGCAGCCTTACCACATTTCAAACTTCGAATCGCAAGTTCAATCTCTTTCATACTGATGACCTCAGTGTCATCGAGGTCCGGGTCTGGCGTACCAGTCACGGCGTCATCCCCGGATCCCTCACTAAGATCATCACACGCATACATTTCTCTATAAAATTCGCTCCATCGCTGCATGACGTCCGATTTTTCTGATAGGACGTCATTAGTTCTCGAAAGCACTTTGTTCATTCTTAAGGCCGTCGCACCACTTCGGGCCCTTCCAACCTCTTTCCAGAAGAGTTTGGAGTTCTCCTTAAAGTTGTGCGACAACCTTTCATCCGCTTCCATTCTACACCTTTCACGCACTTCCTCAATCAATGCTTTCGTGTGAACTTTCTGCAGCTTATATCTTTCTTTCATCTTCTCTCTCATATCCTTATCATTACTAGAGGCCAAGTAGTCTAACCATGCTTTCTTCTTCTTCTTTACAGCTTCTTTCACTTCATCATTCCACCATGCATCTCTTCTTTTACTACTGCCTCTTTTTATTGTTCCACACACTTCTTCCGCTGCACTTACCATTCCATCCCTAAGGTTCTGCCATGTTCTTTCTACACATTCGTTTCTGCCATCGATGGTGTCAAGCTTTTATTGGTGACTTGATAATAAATAAATGTATTAGATGAGTAGGGAAATAAAATCTAACACAAAACTTTAAGTAACAACCACAACACTTACACTTACAGTAAGTCATTGGGCAGTCTGATTATGGTTGCAGTTACATCTATTTATTTTTAAAACTTTCTGACATCCATAATATTACTACTGCTCTATTCAGAAACATATTTAAAAGTTAACAAGATTAAAAGTTAATTTAAAGTGTGATATCTTACTTTGGAAAACAAAGAGCCACTGTATCCCGAAAACTCATCATAATTGGAATCATTTAAATCTTCATCATCATCTTCTTCGTCTGTTTTTTTACGTTTCGCAGCGGGTGGAGCATGGCGATCATCCCTAAATCAAAATGAATGTTAAAATCATACCCGACTCCAAATCAGATTGTATACAGATAAAATACTCACGAAACATCATTAGCGTCTCGAGCTGGACCAATATCCGATCGTGTGGTAAAACCTGTTGCACTGAAAAATGAAGACACGGTATATGATTAAAAAATTTAAAACATCATCAACAAACATCACAAGAAGCATCTATAATCTTACCCTCGACCGACCCCAGCTACATAACCTAGAGGTGCAGGGATCCCTAGAAAATGTTTTTTATTTTTGTTGACAAAGGCTTGAGGTGGCACTGACATTTTGCTAAAGTTAAATTTAGAGCACTACTTTTAATAAAGTCGTTACATTTAATAGTAAACTTTGTCAAACAATTCTCAATTCTTCAACACAAACAAATTATTATACACATAAATAATACAGATTACAGATCTGTCAATTTGACATTAGGCTTCAGGAGGTTGTTTTTTTAGTAAGATTTTATGACTTAGATGCTTGTCCTTTAAGCTACATCTTCATTTTTATATCAGTATCAAATGATAATAATCCTTTATCAAAATATGTTGATGCGTCACATTGCGTAGTCTTTGAATCAAGACACCTAAGCAGACATCTCACCTTGAGATTCACATCACCATCGGAGCACTTGTTTCAGCGTTCCCGTTACATATCAAAATCCACTTCAAACCATTATTTAAACAATAATACAGGAGCAGCAAACCACCGCCGGTCAAGTTCCCGCCAAAACTCCCTGAGACACTGCTCCGAGCCACAGCCATAGAGTTCTTTATTTACCCCGAGCACGCGTGTGTGTTTCTATATAGTTTGTGCTCCGGGCTCAAATGCTGTCGTGAGTGGTCGTTTATTACAGCAGCTCGTGCAGAAACATATCGATCGCCGTAGAAATATAAAATATTCCAAAAACCAAATTATATACATACTTTCTTTTAAATACTAGTAATGCTACTGAGCATTACTAATATTCTCTTAAACCAATTCTGGTAAGCTTAAAATGCTTGTGTTAGAAGTGGTTCATGACAGTAGTCGAATGGTGGATTTCAACCCACGACCTTTCGAGTTCGCGGTCCGCACCATGCCATTAGGCTACAGATTTTTATCACAATATTTTATTTCGCTTAAAGCACGCAGGATTTATATATAAATATACTTTTACGTATTGGACTTTATAGACCTGAAGGTGTGTCGGTATCTGCCGAGTTTGGCCTCGTTTTGTTAGTTATGATGAGACCTTACTTCCGGACTTGATAGAGTGACTTGAAAGTGTACTTTGAAGACTGCTACTGGAAATCCTCGACTAGGAGAACTAGATGTGCCGAGTTTGGGCTCGATTTGTTAGTTATGATGAGACCTTACTTCCGGACTTGATATAGTGACTTGAAAATGTACTTTGATGACTGCTACTGGAACTCCTCGACGAGGAGAACTAGATCTGCCGAGTTTGGCCTCGTTTTGTTAATTATGATGAGACATTACCTCCGGAAATGATAGTGACTTGAATGTGTACTTTGATGACTGCTACTGGGACTCCTCGACGGGTAGAACTAGATCCGCCGAGTTTCGGCTCGTCTTGTTAGTTATGAATTGACCATACCTCCAGACTTGACGCAGTGACTTGAAAGTGTACTTTGAAGACTGCTACTGGAACTCCTAGACGAGGAGAACTAGATCTGCCGAGTTTGGCCTCGTTTTGTTAGTTATAGAATATAATAGATATATAGAATAGGCCTTACCTCCGGACTTGACGGACTGACTTCAAGGTGTACTTCGTTGACTGCTACTGGAACTCATTTACGAATAGAACTACAATTTAGATTTTTTTTTTAAATTTTCACTATCATTGGGCATTGTGAGTTGTGCACTTTTGGGTTTTCCAAACTTTGTTTTTTATTGAAGTTTGACATAAAGATATCAAGTATAGTTATAAGGTTATTAGTGAAAACTTGTGTGTATTTAAACTACTTAAAAAAAATTAAATATAATCATGTTATACGTAATTTTTTTAATGCGCTTAAGGCATATCACATAATATCAAACGAACAGTACGGCTTTCAAAAAGATAAATCTACATCTTAGGCGATTTTCTCACTCATAAAAGTAATACTATCAAACATCAATACAAATAATTTTACAACGTTTTGACCTATCAAAAGCTTTTGACCTAGTTTTACATGACCTACTATTACAGAAATTAGAAGAGATTGGGATTAGGGGACCTACACTTCATTGGATATCAACATATACAACATGTAACAAAAACCCTGTGGTTCCCGTTAAGTACGTTATCAGGATCAGTATTCAAACCTATAGAAATAACTTTTTTTAAACTCGACAAAATTTCTTTTTTAATTTTATTTAAAAAAAATTATGTGGTTTTATTACCTCTTACAGACACTAGCCGATGCTAAAGCTAAGTAAAGCTTAAAAAAGTTATTTCTACACGTTTGAATAATGATCCTGATAACGTATTTAACGGGAACCACAGGGTTTTTGTTACATATTGTATATCTAATAGGCAACTGTGGCGGGTGGAAGGAAAAGGGGAGATCTCCCGCCGGGCAAGATGTTCTGCCCGGGGAGCGGCCAACGCTACGAGTGGTAGTTCGAAGCTGTTCGGCACGGCTCTGAGCCTTACTGCTCGCCTCTGCTTCACAGCACTCTCGCAGATTACTTGCCTTCTTCATATTTGTTACAAAATTCAATTAGCCTTTTATAGTGAGTGATTGTAGTGTTATAAGAAACAATGCTGATAATTGCAAATTTCAGAGATAAATTCTCAAGCGTCATCAATAATAAGATGCGTCTATTTTTGGTTAATATTTATGTTATATACTATTTAAAATATATAATATTTTCGATTATTTTGTTAATTTTGATGCTTGGCAAAGAAAAAAGTCACGTTGTTAATATTTTGCATGAATTTGGTAAATACATTTTTATACAAAATATTTTACATGTACCCTAGGGATTTACTCAACTATATCAAAATTAATGTCGATATTTATCTTGAATGTTTATAATGACTTGGCCACACAACAAGAAGAGGAACGAAAATAAATGCTCGGTTTGCGTTCTAAAAATGTAATGTTATTTTGCTATTTGTCAAACCGATTCCCTCCGGATTCTATAATTAGAAAAAAATGGTTAAGGTTAATTGTTTGGAATCCAAAGAAGAACTCGACAATTTTCAGCAAACATTTTCTTGAGAAGTATAAAAGAAAAAATAGAAAAAAAAACAATTTCATTAAAACGAGCCATTTCCACGTTATTTGTACCAGTAAGTATAATATTGTTATAATAAAACTTCCAAAATGTTACTTAAAAAACTTTAGATAAAAATAGAGATAGATTTTTATATATTACAAAACGGTATGTTACATTTATTAAAAACAATCTTGAGATTATACTATTTAAGCCATTATGAACCAAACAACTGGGTATCTATTTACCAACCGAAAAAATGTATAACCTTACTTAACCACCAGCACCTCAAGGTCACACTAATCCAGTATTCATAGCATCACGCTATTATACCCAAGGGGTTGAGCGGAGCTTTGGATTATATTTCCAAGTCACAATGATAAAACTTTGCGTAGTTAGGTATAAATATTTTGTAATGCTCCTGAAGTTCCGCTAGACGCCCGCGCATGAGACGCGCGGTTCAGTGTGCCAGGATAGTGACAATTCCATAGTATTTGATACTCACAACGCTCAATGCCCGATTCATGTTTGATGGTCGACGACTGTATGCCGAGGGCTTAATAGCGTAGTTAATCGCCTGCAGCGTTAGTCGAAGAGAAAAGGAACTCGTGGTTATGTAATAGCTACGGGGCTCAACGGATCTACGAGATTAACGTTGCCGTGGTTAGTCCATGGATGGGTGACCGTTTTCATAACATACCGAGATTGAGAGAATAGCATATGTATCGTCAGACACTTGTTGCACCTTAATATCTCCTGCGTATTTGGCTAGTCTCTGTTAAGATCATTATGTTTCTAAATTCATGCAGCTAAAATTATAATAAGTTTATTATTACTTTATATTTTTCAGGGACAGATGAAAGAGAGAGTAAGTAACCTCATAAACATATTGGCCTTTAAACAGAGCAATCTTATTTAACTGATTCTTACAAGTTTCCTTACTTAAATTACTAAGTTTACATTCATATTTAAGCTGAATATTAAAACAAACTTCTATAATGTACTTAACTATTAATTATTAAATGTTTGTAATGATTAAAGTAATACTTAAAATGAAAAATAATCCAGCCATTATATATTTAGTGTCCACGTTTTTTATTTCGCCAGCAAAAGATTTTATAATACATGATATATAAATATAAATAGGTATTTACTTAATTAAGTATCTACCTATTTATATTTGATTAACATTATGTTAAAAAAATTCCTAGGAAACTGTCCATGGTAGTAAACATTTTTTTCTGAAGGTCATAGTTCGAAAATACAATTTTCCGATCTGATTCTTGGAGAAAATTGTTTAAGTTCATTCGGTAGACTCACCTCTTCAAAGATTATTGGAATTTTGTACAATTTGAATTAAAATCCAACAAAACGCAGGTAGGTACTGCTTATTTTCGGAAAAATGTTATATGAATGTTTTTTATTATTTTATAATATCATGTTAAAAATTCAATTAATTTTGGAAGTTATTCAGTTGCGTACACTAAAAATTTTTTTTAAATCTTTTACCGCTTACTTAACAATTATTTTTCGATAATCCTTGTAAGTACAATGTTACGCGTTTTCGGGCTGTCAGGACCTCTATACGCCAGTATATTCTAAGTGTATGGTCTACTTACTATTTCCTAATAAATCATATTTTCTATGCTAGAAGAATAAATCCTTTGAGCATAGAAAATAGAGGAGATGGCAAGCCTACAAAAAATCCTGTCAAATTGAAACAAAAAATGGCGGACGCTGTAAGCTCTGCCCATTTTTTGAAGTCAATCAACTTTTAAAATTGAGTAATACCCATATGTATTATTATTTATTTTTAAATATGCAAAATTATATTTTCTCTAACGATTAGGGAGGCTAGGGGAATTTCGAGTGAATTTAACTCCAGATGATTGCTGCTCCAGTTTTATCGTTTAAATAATAGTTTGAAGACGATTTTGATACTTAATGCACGGATATCAACTTGAGCTTCTAAGTTGTAAGTTAGCAAGTTAGTTGCTCTGACTTCATATTATACAGAATAAGCTTTACTTCTGGGCTAATAAGTTACTATCTAAAGCCAGGATGGTTAAATAGGATGCGAGTTCTCTTTTTGAGCTAGTAGCACCCCCCCCCCCCCCCCACCACCATTTTTCTACTATTCTGGCTTGTACACCAGTTTCGTGTGGCCGGTTAAGCTAATATCTTTTGAAGTAAAAACTACTTTAGAATCACTGTGATTTGAATATTATTATACTTTACGATGTGCTTTATATAATGATTTGAAGTGGATTTTGATATGTAAAGTGGTGCGATTTTGTGTATTAAGTGTCTGCGCATGTTAACTATTAGTGGAAACGGTGAAATAAGTGCTCCGATGGTGATGTGATTCTCAAGATAAGGTGTCTGTCTGCTTAGGCGCCTTGAGATACCATCGCCAACTGTCAGAGCCTGCCGGCTCAAGCTGCCGTCAAAATCTCCCTAGGGCTGCACAATGTGACTGAATTAATATTGTGAAGCAGTGTACTATGAAGGCAGGCTCAGAAGGGCTAGAACCCAGAGCCGTAAAGCTAGTTAAAAAAATAAAAAATACAAGAGATAAGCGTTGCTTAGCAACCGTATGTTGAATTTACGAAGCTATAATTTTCATGTTGCTTTTGAATATTAGAAACTAAAACTTTCAAACAAATGCATATTTTAAATTCACTGTTCGTCAAGGCCTTTAATATCTAAGATAATGGCTGACGAATCTTTAGCCAGTAACAGGGATGTTATATCTAATGAAGAAATCCTTACTAAAGAATTTTTACTAATTGAGAAATCCTGTGAATCTTATAAGGATAGTGATGAAGAGTTAAAAAACATATTTAAGGAAATAAAAAAGTTGTCTTGTGCTAAGAATAAAGATAGTGAAGTCGGAGAGGATAGTGAGGACGTGGAATTAATTTTAAAGAGAGCAGAAGACATTGCTAATGAGACTGAAAATTTATTAAACAGTAGCCCAGTTGTAGGTTTCAGGAATTGTGTTTCACCATGTGTAGAGAGTAAAGTTCCTCAAATAAAAGTCACTAAGGTTAGTGAAAATGAAACTAGGTTGGATAATAAAGTGGCTGGATCTCTTAAGGTAGAGTATACTTTGTTTTACACATTTGTTTAACATTCTGTTCAATGTAGATATCTTCAGTGAAAGTGTATTCTAAAGGATTGTAAAGCGTGTTCTAATTACCTCTCATAGTCACATTTACTTTTTCTTAAAGTTTAAATTACATTTGTTAAAGACATTGTTCTGGATATTATAAATTTGTCATTAATTTCATTGTACAAAACAATAATGATAAAAAATATCCGGAAATATGAGTTAAATAATAAACAAACACATTTTTTTAATTATTTATAAAAGCGTAACAGACCAAGAGAAAGTTCTCTTTATTTGTCCATATTGTAAAAATTACATTTGTTGCAATATCAATTACAGTAATTAAATAGTTAAATAATTATAAATAAAATTACATTATTTTAGTTTAATAAATATATCATTTAAACCTAATAAATGCCTGTATACATTCTTGTGCATAATATTATGCTTTAGCCACTTGAGAAGCTAGTACTCGCAGTCCATTTAACGATTCTCTGGCTACTGGCTCGATGAAAGATGTGGGTAGTATGAAACCATACCGTCCGGTGTCACTTAATTCAATGGTATAAGAATATTTTATACCCTGACTTTTAGCCCAGTCATCTGAACCTCCAGAGGCTGGATACAGAAGTCCACTGGAGGAACCCACTTGGTATGATGAGCCACGGGTTTGTTTTATTGCCTGAAATAATAAAAAAAATGTTAAATATATATTTTCTTATATTTTACGTGATGTATAGCAATTATAAACATCAAATAAAAATGAAATCTATAATTGAATTGTTACTATCTAAAATATGAAATAATTATAAGAAATAATATTTTTGGTGTAATACCTCCTGATACAACCAAAGGCAACTTTTTCTATATATTGTCATAAAAATTATTAGATTTAAATGATGATATGGATGAGATATATGGCCCTTCACTGCTGGCCATGTAAGGAAACTTAAGGTCATTCAGCAAGCTATGGAGAGGGCTATGCTCAGAGTTTAGAGATTCTCTGCTTGATAAAATTTGAAATGAGGATATAAGGAAGAACTAGAGTAACCAACTTGGCCCAATGGATGAATAAGCTGCAGTGGTGATGGGTCGGACTAATAGCTCGATGAACCAATTTCCGTTGGAGAAGAAAGGCTCTCAAATGGCAGCCTTGTACTGGTAAACGAAGTGTAGGGCAGCCTCCCACTAGATTGGATAATAACCTGGTAAGAGATCGATGGATGTAGGTGACTCCAGACTGTGCTTTGCAGAATTCCTTGGGGTACACCTATGTTTGCAATTGTACTTGTGAAGGGTTTTAATGATGATAATGATGATACCTAAATGTTCTACATTATTAAAAACTGTATCCTTAAGGTCTAACAGTTAAGGCATGGTAACCATGGTTATGTTAGAAGGATGCTTCCTGACATGACCCTACTTACAAAGCAAAGTGCTATTTGAGAAACAAATTTAAAGAAAAATAGTGTTACAAAGAATGAAATCTTACTATAGATACATTACTACATTACTATTTATAAATCTGAAGCTTCCAAAGTTAATTATTTTATATTATTAAGTAAAAGTTTGGCAATTTGCACTCTTACTGAAGCTCCCTTTAAATTTGACTGAATAAGCATGATGCATCAATATAATATGGATGTGCCTGAAAGCATTTCATAATTTTTCCACTCACCTCTGCCATCCGATTGCCAAGATCATGCAAATCTTTATGATCAGCTGGTACAGCATTTTCATAGCCCCATGGGTAGAGCAGGTACTGACCATAGCTGTGATATGTTATATAGGCCGTGAAATTAGCTGCACTGTTTTTGATGAAATCCTGGATTATAAGAAAATTATTTATTATTTCAGGAAGGTTCTATTAATTGAATAAAACTAATTTATTTGTTTTTAACTCCCGAAGTTTCGTGTGTATACGTGGTAGTTTTATAAGATAATGGTGACAAATGAGCACACAGTCCACCTGATGGTAAGTGGTTGCTGCGGCCCATAGACATCTACATCAGTCCTCAATTAGAAATCAAAATGCAGATGCGTCGTCACCCGTGAGGACTAAGATGGAATGCCTCTTTTCCAGTAAAATGGGTCTCCAGTTCTCTTCACTCACCATACGAAACACAGCAGCGTTAAGCTGCTATTTTACGCTGGTATTCTGTGAGAGCGTGGTCCTTCCCCGGTTGAGCCGACCTATTCGTGCTACAATTATACTACTAATATAGCTACAGCATGGCTCTACCATGTAAAGAAGTGTAGCGCCTTGCTGCAGCTACACTTTTATTATAGTTGTAACATGAATGAGGGGCTCGACCGGGAATCCTTGCCATGCTCTAATTTTACCGGCTAATGCTGCTGTTATGTATAGGGAGTGTTAAGAAACAGAGACCCTTTTTACTGGAAATGAGGCATTCCAACTTAGTCTTCAGGAATGACAATGCAACTGCATTTAGATTCTCAATTGAAGATAGATGTACATATCTATCGGTCACAGCATCTACTTATCATCACATGGACTATGTGCTCGTTTGCCACCCTTATTCTATAAAAAAAATGTAAATAACATGTATTTAATTTGTTTTAACTTCTGACTTATGTTTGCAGTCCCCGTGTGTCTGGGTACTGCAAAGCACTCGGAAACAGAGAGAGTTAAAGACAAATTAAATTAAACGCGATAAAATCCTTAAAAGTAGTTGTATTGAATGTGTAGTGTTCGCGTAAATATAAGAAATGATAAGGTTATATTAATTTTGTTCTGTGTCGTGGCCGCGGAAATGATTCCATCGCCTGCAGCACCTGTCCCTTTAGTTATTTGTTAGTCAACTTTAAACAAAGAAGGCTACAGGTGCGTTGGCAATCCTGATGAGTAGAATAGATTGTCCTACGTTCTGTAAGTATGCTGGCTCTACTTACCCTAGAGCCAGTGTAAGAAATTACATCACCCTATTTCGTCCTGTGGGTGTCGTAAGAGGGGACTACGGGAGATGCTAGAACTATCTTGCGCGATCTTAGATCGATTGACGGCAGCGTCAAACGTGCGAGACATCGCAATCGCGTCGCGACTATAGTCTTTGTGATACGCGAAATTGTCATAAAATTGGTCAGTCAGTTCTTTGTGCTAAAACATTTAGGTGATCGCTTCAATATTAAAAACAGTAGATTGCTATTAGCATATTATGACGAGCTAACGTTATTCCATTGATAATAGACAAGTGCGGTAATGATACTTGAGATAGGTAAAATATAACTTCACTTATCCCTAATGAGTAGTAGTAATCATATCTTAAGTATTGTCTGGGTATTTGTTGATAACTATTTTAAGATGCAAACAACTTAGGGATATGCATTGTTAATAAGTGTCATAATGCTGTTATTAACCCATGTAAGTTATATAGTACCTGCCAGTCTTAGAATCGTTAACAATATCATAAAAATCGCAAAAAGCAAAAAATATGAATTTGTTTTCAGATTGTTTTCGGTATGTACACAGCACGAGATTTTTTTTTCTAATAATAATAAATATACAAAACACTACATGTGTAGTAAATCGACCTCAGTACAAACAGATCTTAATCAATTAACTGAGTCATTTGCTAAAGTTTTTCCTGCCGGACGAGTCCTGCTATCGGGCAAAGGGGTCCGTCCTCATCGCAGACTTCATTTAGAGGGACAACTAGCCCTGGTTAGCGATGTCGCTTTCGCGAACTTATGCTGAATTATATATTTTAAATAACTACCCCTTTTAATATGATTTTAAGGTCTAGTTGGTCTTCCGACTTGATATGATTCTACTTTTAGTCGCGCGGCGCAGCTATGATTTCTCTGGGGAATGTATCGCCCGGCAGACTCAGTTCATGTGGCTCATTGTCGAAAATTGGTTTGACAAACAGGCCACGAATTTTTCTATGGATTAGACTTAGAGGTTACTGGTGTTGACAACAGGTCGCATCTTCTTGCGCGCACCTGGCCTGACAGATCGTGTGATTGCCCTTAAAGGGTCATGCTCAAATTGCATGGCCAATCAAACATTCCAGTTACGTGACAGTCACAAAAAAGAATAAGAATATACAACATTTCGAACCCAGGACTAGCTTAGGGGTGGGCAAAAGCAAGCAAGCGAATTTGGGAAAATTTATGAAGTACGTCTTTAAATGGTTGTATTTGAACTTACTCATCATATTATTTTTAAACAGTTTCAAACAAAATATTATGATATTATGTACGAGCATAAAGTTAAATATTTATGTGATAGTAGGGTGATACTTTATATTTAGGCTGTATATTTAGTATGCACTATTGACAAATCTTGATTCACGAAACTAATGCACCGTGAAATAACAGCATTCTTCAAGTTTTGTCGTAATTTTGAGATCACCACCGTTCGTGTCATAATAGTAGAGCACTTATATTGTGTCCTTGTCAAATGCATTATTTTAAATTGAAACACTTGCATTCTTTACGACTTTTTAAATTGCAGAAGCTATAGATTTTTTTATTCATTATTATTTATTCTATAATACCTGGATGCATTATAGCCCTTCACAAGTCAACTGATGAACATAGGCCTCCCCCAAGGAATGCCACAAAGCACGTTCCTGAGCCACTAGCATCCATCGACTTCCTGCATGTCTTACCAGGTCGTCACTTCAACTAGTGGGGGGGACGCCCTACACTTCACCTGCCGGTACGAGGCTGCCACTCGAGAACCTTTTTTCCCCATTGGTTGTCGGTTCTTCGAGCTATATGGCCGGCCCATTGCTACTTCAGCTTACTAATCCGTTGGGCTATGTCGGCCACTCTGGTTCTACTGCGGATATCCTCATTTCTAAGTTTATCACGCAGAGAAACTCCAAGCATAGCCCTCTCCATAGCTCGCTAAGCGACCTTGAGCTTCCTCATCCGCCCATCAGTGAAGGACCACGTCTCAGTTCCATAGGTTATCACTGGCAACACGCACTGGTTGTTTAGTCTCGATTTCAAGTTTTGAAGTATACCTGACGAGAAGATACGCCGTAATTTCCCGAACACTGCCCAACCGAGTTGAATTCGTCGATTGACCTCTATTTCGTAGTAGAGGACTTCCTAGTCGGACTATTTGTCCGAGGTAAACATACTCGTCAACAATTTCGAGCTTAGTGCTCCCAATAACTATCGGCATAGGTGTGAAATGGACATAAAACATGATCTTTGTTTTGTCCATATTTATTTTAAGACCTATCCGTTGGGAAACACTATTGAGGTCATTGAGCACAGTGCTTAGGTCCTCCAGCGATTCTGCCATAAGGACTATATCGTCGGCAAATCGAATGTGAGTGATGCACTCGCCATTGCTGTTATTACCGTATCCTATCCAGTCCAGTAGCTTGAAAACGTCTTCTAATGCAGCGGTGAAGAGTTTCGGGGATATAATGTCACCCTGTCTTACACCTCTCTGCAGTTGGATAGGTTTCGTACTCTGGTTCTGTACTCGGGTAGCCATCTTAGCCCTACTGCACAAGCATTTCAGCACTTCGATATACCGACAGTCAACTTGGCACCGCTGAAGGGACTGTAGCACCGCCCAAATTTCGACGGAATCAAACGGTTTCTCATAGTCCTCATACGCAAGGCAAAGTGGCAGATGGTACTCTTCTGTCTTCTGTACAATTTGCCGAAGGGTGTGTATGTGGTCCATGTTACTACAACCTTTTCGGAAACCGGCTTGTTCGGGAGGCTGGAAGTCGTCGAGTTTGCGTGCGAGACGATTCGTAAAGACTCTCAAAAACAGCAAGTAGACGCGGCTCAGAAGGGAAATCGGTCTGTAGTTCTTCAAGAGAGTGTTATCGCCTGTTTTAAAGAACAAGACCATCACACTTTTGCTCCACGCCTCCGGAGTAATGCCATCATGGAGGACGAAATCAAGAGTTTCTGAAGGAATTCAAGTACCGGTTTTCGACCCGCTTTCAGAAGCTCCGCTGTAATTCCATCCTCACTTGGGGCCTTGCCGATTTTAAGGTGCTGGAGAGCCATTCTAATCTCGCTCAGCACGCTCAGAGTCAGTAGTGATATCATCTAATAATGACAACCGAGAGTGAGGCAAGCGTCCTGACAAGTCTGTTCCACGGTTACTACCCCCATGCTTATACCTTATCGAAAAGTCACATTTAAATTTATATTTTCTATTTCATTGAAGCCGTCAAAAGTTCAATGCTGAACATAAGTCTCCCCAATAGACTGTGTCATAGGGGCAATATTTGAAATAATTGCCACACCTGGCAGGCGGGTTGACAATCGCAGTTTTCTTGTTATTATTGCGTTTTTATCAGGAAGACGCTGCTGCCGATCTCCTTTTACTGTTTCCCTTTGACACCCACGGGATGATATGGGCTGGTGGATAAGTCTATATAGTTTTATTAAAGTAACAAAATTACTATAGATTTATTTTTGTTTTATACTCCGTGAGTTCGCAGTTTTGTCGGTTTTAATAGATTAAAAATAAAAAGATATATAAATGACAAATATAAATAAAAACTAATCTGTTTACCGATAGAGCTTTTGACTCGGGCTCGGAAAAGGGGGTGCTGCCGCGGTAAATCTCGCTGCATGGGTTAGCAGATGATCCTCTTCCTCCCCATCGGTACCTAGTAATAGTATTACAACACCATTTACAGAATGTAATTAAACATTTAATCAGTAATCCGTAGATTGTTCCATAAGGGCGATATTTGCATAGCTTGGTAGACAGGTTGGCAACCCTAATTTATTTTTATTTTTAGTTATTACGAAGATATTGCTGTCCGTCTCCTGATTTGCTTCCCTCTGTCGCCTCTTACGACACCCACAGGTTGGTGTGGGTAGTGGAATTCTTACACCGCCTACTCGGTCAAGAGGACATCGGGGCTGAGAAATGAAGAATAGGTTTTTAACGATCTATTGCTGTCGTGTTGTATCTAAACGGCCGAGCTAGGTGACTGAGAGAGGCAACTGTAGCTCGAACTGATTATACTGTGAAAATTGATTTGAATTTGAATCATCATCCCATAATCCACCTATTTCATCCTCGACCGATTAAATTTTTTTCGGTCTTTAGGTTTTCCTTTTATTTTTTATGTTTGTTGTTTTTTTCCGGATGCCATATACTAGTTTTTGAAATAATTAATTTAAATAAAAAACAAAACATATGAACATGGTAGTGGTGGAGATAGATTTGTATTATATTTTTTCTAACAGATGAGATGTTTGAAATAAACGCTGTGCCGCCAGGATATCCTCTTAAAGTGTGTTTTGGTTGAAATCGAATTTAAATAATAGGTGAGTTTATGGAAAATGCAGTGATAATTATGCTGTTAAGTATTTTCGAAAATGGCTCCGAAATCGATATTAATAATCAATTTAACTGTGATGATAGCGGTTATGGCCACAGCACATTGAATGCGTGTACGTGACGTTATGATAATAGTTATAAAACAACGTATAACTGTAGAAAAGGAGACGTCAGCTTCTGCGTTCAGAGACGGTGCACGAGGAAAGTAGGGGATGGTGATATGTTTCATACAATTTTATACACGCGTTTGATGTCTTCCAGGATATATCCTACTTAAGGTCTCACGTCCGGGAAAATCTTTTCAGCGTCATGTCAAATAATATGTAGTAATACTATCTAAAATATTGCCGCAGATTCGCATATTTCTTTAATTCCACATTATTCTATAATATAAACCTTCATCGTCCTTGTACTAAGAAATAATACATACCCAAAGTTTCTGTTAATATCCGTGCCCACGCATCCCCGTGCAGATCTAGTGGGTTTTTTATTTTTCCTCCACAGTCGGTCTGTCTGATGCGTATATTCGTAGCCGTCAGGGTTCACCACAGGCAAGAAGTACCTTTAAACAACAGGAGAATATTAGAAGAAATGACCCTTTTATCTTAAGTATTACGATTTGTATCGATTACGTAATGTTTTAGTCAAAACGCATAGTTACGCGACATCAAGAGTCCTTAAAGATTCTGAAGGATTCTGAAGGAAACTTGCCTAAAAATTAAGCTTTTTCACGTTTTACAGCAACATGTTTTGGTATTTAAGAATCATCTGTTGCCATCCAAAGATCATTGACCCCGCCACCAAATGGGTCACAGCATCCACTTTCCACCAGGTGGACTATGTGTCACTCTTACTTGTATAAAAAAAAACACTGATATCATAATTTAATACGTCGGTGGTGTTATAAAACATAAGTGCTAGTGTAGCATGAAAGAAAACCAATGAAATAACTGATAAAATACTTACGAGTATAACTGATTATGAACGACTAGATAAACAGAAAAATATTATTATACGCACCAGTCAATGTTTTTAATATCGTCAGTTTCAACATCAAAGTTCTCTGCAAATTGATTTATAAAGTAGGTTACAGTCGCTGGACTGATCCATTCGCGGGCATGGATACCACCGTCAATAAATACCGCTTTGTTTGTTGGTTTCCCATCGGATATCCGTAACACCTATTGAGTACAATAAAATGCCATTAACTTTTCATAATAGAAATAAGTGTGTCGGAGTGACACCACTGTTGATTATTATTTAAAAAAAAAATACGTACGCAGTGTGCACTAGGATTTTCTTTTGTATCGTGAACTAGTTTACATACATAAATTTCACATGGATAAACATCAAACCCGGAGCAATTATTTCAGGCCATACAAATACTTGTTACGTGCACGCAATTCGATGCTAAGTCACTGCGCCATGAAGCAATCAAGTGATTGTATTGTTCCGTAATTGACTATCAGGTGTAAGCCTGTTGTTACTGTTAGATTGTTGTCCAGTGCTGGACATGGGCATTTTCTTTTGTAGGAAATGTTATGTTTGCCACGCTTGGCGGGCGGATATTTCGCACTTTTGACGTTGGTTATTTTCGCCGGTCTTCATATTTTACATTTTTGCCATTACCAGATGTCATTATTTTTTTTATATATAGAATAAGAGTGACAAACGAATTCACAGTCCACCTGATGGTAATTGGCTGCTGTGGCCCATAGACATCTACATTTATCCTCGATTTAGAATCAAAATGCAGATGCGTTGTCACCCCTGTGGACTAAGATGGAATGCTTCGTTTCCAGTAAAAAGGGTCTTGTCTTTCTGGTCTTCCCCATAGCCGCTTCTTAAGGGGAAATGTACATTCTTACACATGGGCATATTGTCAATCACCACCATAGATATTTTCCAATAATAAAAAATATCAAGGCGTTAAAACCCAGACAATTTATATGCAATTACTTATAAAATAAGAAGTCAATAAATCAATATTAAATAATCCAAAAGCTTAATAAACGATTTAAAACAAACCTTTAAGTCCCTTCCTTCGTGGGATTTCCCTATGGAATTTACGCTAACAATTTTTGGATATGTCTTGGCCAGATAGTCCATGAATCCGTGAATGTCTTCTATTCTGTGATATTGCTTCCATGTCATACGATGACCTAGTAAAAAGACAAATATGCTTTAAAAGTATTTTTTTTATGTATTAACAATTATTAAAATTGCATTGATAGCGTTTATTGTATAGATTTTGGTTCTGTTTATTAGTTTTGGGCCACTTTTCTGGTATATTTAATTTTTGCAAAGATTGTGGTTTATAAAGGTATAAGAGATATACAGTGCTTTTAGTTAGTAAAACACGAACATGCGACACAATAGAATAGACAACAGACTCCAACAAATATGTTAGGGCACACGTGCGAAATCTTTCGGTAACGTGAAACGAACCCCAATTCGCGTACGGCCAATACTCCATGGGTAGATCGATAGAGTTGTAACCCATGTAGGCACCTACCAAACTTACACGGCGATGAGAAGCCCTGTAACGCCAAAAATTGTAAGCCTTTGCTGCAACAAAACCATACAAACCCTTGGACTATTGTACCAGTGCTTCTTGTTTTAATGTTTACTCTATAATGTTGTGTTTATTATTATAATTTAACAAACCTCGTCGATCTTGAAGTTCTATTTCGTTGGCATCCAGAGGAGGGTTTTCATCGTTGATTCTCTGTTGTAGATCATCTATTACGACATCAATTGGTATTCTCTCCCTTTGAAACACACGAGTAACATTTGCTATAGCATTAGGCTTTACCAGTATATCAATAGATGAATGGTTTCCTCCCCATGTAGAAATAACTGCAAAAAATATTGTATGTTGAGCCTTTGCATTGCGATTAAAATCATATCTGGACGTAATTACAAAAAAAATGCCTTTTCGAAATGAAATTTAGATATTTAGTGATAAAGGTTTGCTTGCGATGTGTTTGTGATTTTGCTACTTTGGCTGGAATTATCTTCACTGTTAAGACTATATATTATTTTTGATTATACTCTATTTTTTATATATTATTTTTGACGTAAGTTTGACGTGGATCCTTTTGCGTTATCTCTAAATAAAAAACAATTGCTGTCCGTTAGTCTCGATAAAACTCGAAAATTGCTTGACCGATTGTGATGAAATTTTTTGTGTGTGTTTGAGTGAGTTTCTTGATGCCTCAGATTCACAATTGGACCCGGTAGGTGGCGCTGTTGTTGAGATCCAGAAGTCACCTGTGCGAAGCCGGGGCGTATCGCTATTTATGTATATTTATTAATAGTAGAAATAAACATTTACTAACGGTTTCGTCGTCGCAATCTGGTAATAACGCCTAGAACACTGACTCTCTCTGTAGAGACCTTCCAGACTTGCGCCCCTGAGTAGTCAACCTTTCTCTCCCAAGAATCAGCATTTCTAAGAATTGGTTGGGAAGCATCGATAACAACTTCCTCTGGTTCGTCTATCTCCTCTATAGGATTACCGGTCGGTAGCACTTCTTCCTTTTCGGCGAAAGTTGATGTTTCTTTTTCATAGTCAGAAGGTTGCTTTACCGAATTTCTCGGAGGCCAATCTAAAACATAACAATTAGCATAAGTTAAAATAATCTGTACTAAGTCGAGATTTCTAGTGTGATGTCATAAAAATATGATCCCTGCTGTTTGCGATTATATATATATACACATGTTCATTGCGTATACGTAGAGTTGTTAGAGATATCTACTCTAGCCGTGTAAATGGATGTGTGCATAGTGAATTTTAAATAAAGGATTTAGATGTTTTGATTGTGACTGAATCTATTGTTAACACAGCAACACGTACAATTGGATATGCAGCTAACTGGTTTTATTTTTAATTTATTACGCGGTAGAGCTACGCCGCTGTTACGTTAGCCATACATAGCTGCAGCACGAATGGGTCGGCTTGACCGGGGTAGGACAATACGAGGACACACAGGACAGAATACCAGCGTGAAACAACATAATAATGCAGTTTCGTTGAGTGTAGAGAATCAGGGACCCTTTTTACTAGTAACGAGGCATGCCATCTTAGTCCTCAGGAGTAACAAATGTATCTGCTTATTTTATAGGATAAGGGTGACAAACGAGCACACAATCCACCTGATGGTAAGTGGTTGCTGCGGCCCAAAGACATCTACATCTATCCTCTATTACAAATCAAAATGCAGATGCGTTGTCACCCATGATGGTATTCTGTGAAAGCATAGTTCTTCCCCGGTCGAGCCGACCCATTCGTCCTACAACTATACTACTGATATAGCTGCAGCATGGCTCTACCACGTAAGATTATGATTCTTAATCAATGATAGATGTAAATGTCTGTCTATGCTTGTTTGTCAGCTTTATTCTATAAATATGGCTTCTGAATTTTCAGACGAGCTAAACGTTTGATACTGCAATTCCCCAAACTGCTGCTAACTGTAACATGACCTCTAACCTGATAAGCGTGACGATTGAGGTAAATTGAGATTATTTGCTTTAATAATTTATCAATGATGGTATCAACTGCTAACTGTCATCATCATCATCGTTATTCCAGCCCATCATAATTCCACTGCTGAACACAGGCCTCGCTCCTAAAGCTCGGTCTTGACCTGAAATTAGCCTTCGACTCGTGCATCACCATCATCATCACATTGTCTAGTGGACATTTTTTTCGACATTGCACTTGCTTGTACGAAGCTGCCATTCGATAACAGAAAAACACTAATAACTAAAACACTAAAAAGCTTTAGGTACAGTGAAATCTAAAATATTTCTTTCGATTGATTTATTACCATGGACATCGATCAGCTACAGTTTTATTTACGACGGGGACATGCGAGGCATAAAAAACAGAAAATACGATTGGAATTCATTACTCGTTTCCTTGTGTGACACGTTTAATGACTTTCTCCGGTCCACGCTTGTTTTCCATTGGCGGTTGACTTGATCTTCGTCCGACTAATAACGGTAACGCTTTCGGTTATTGTTCTATGTTTTGTAGATTTTCTTTGCGTTTTCGACAGCCACAAATTGCCACATAAACTATAGACGTGGACTATCCTTAGATGTTGTTGATGAATTAAATACAAGATTTTATACATTGAAGGAAAATGAAAACCACACGTCAAAAATTATACTTATGTTTGACAAAAAGACACATTTAAATTACCTATTTATTTTATTGAAATTTTATTAATGTTTAAGAAAATATACAGTTTTGTACAATCAATAGTCGGTATGCATGTCTGTATAAATTATAACAATAAAACCTTTGCAAAGTTTACACATGATGTAGATTTAAGTAAGTAGTAATTAAGAAGAGAAAAGGGTAGAGTCGCTTGCTAAAAAAGTTCCTCTAAAAAGTATAATATCTAAGACTGAGTCGTACGACATTTCTTTATATTTCTAGGATATGAAAACTTAAGACATCGAGCCGACCTATTTATGCTGCAGCCTCGATACAGTTGTAACGTGGCTTTATCACGCAAAATGTAAAGTTAACTGTACAATGCATCTGTAGGCTATTTTAAGTTGGTCGAAGTTGTTCATGGGCTGCAGTAGTGGCTACTAGTTAAAAATGCAGTAGTTAAAGGTGGGCTCTAAGTTTGTCTCTACAGTTTTATTTAAAACAATTACTAGATCTAAGATTTTGAATGAATGTATTTATTTAAACTTTATGTTACTTTAACTTATTTAAATTCACGACGTTTCTTCGATCACGGAGGAACAAAAATAAGTTAAAATTAAATGCGATAAATTTTTTTTAAAAATTGTGTTATTCTCAGAACTTTAACATGTGTTGGCGCTGCAAGCCGCGGATTTAATGCCTGTGTGTGTAAAAGTTTATCTATTGTCCATCGATAAATCTTCAGAGTGTAGGTGCTTGGCCATTTGTGTATTATGTATGTAAAACACCTCCATGACAGTGCGGAAGTACCTAATGTTTAAAAAAAAATGTGTAATAATAGCGTTATTTAGGCGTATGTAACGCTATTACTACATACAGGCATACAATTTATATTAACATAAAATCCTCAATTTTATAATTTCCAATGTCTTATATGATCACATCAATGATCTATGTCATATATGCTGTGGTCTAACGCCTTGATTGTGGGCTTAAAATTAAACGGAAAGTAAAGGAAAGCAGAGGTATAGTATACCGTTATCTTTACAGCCTATCAAAAGTCCACTGCTGAACACAGACCTCCCCGCGTAGATTGGCCTCATAGTTGTCACGCTTGGCAGGCGGGTTGGCAACCGTTGTTTTAGAATTTTTTAGTTGGTATTATGAAGACGCTGCTGCCCATCTCCTGGTTAGTTTACCTTTGTCGCCTATCACAACACGGACAGCACGATATGGGTTAGTCAGTGGATATCCTTATACCGCTACTATACGACCACAGAAGTATATTATGTGGAATATATTATAATAGTATATATATATATATATATATATATATATATATATATATATATATATATATAATATATAGTTTTTTTATAAAAATGTTTCTTTTCCTTATAATCCGTCCTACAGTGCAGAAATTGCAAAAACCTCAGGGAATACTAATACTACAAATCATTAATAATTATCCAAAACATAGAACGGATTCGAGTCCTTCCATTTTGATGAACGAATAGTTTGTAAAAACTTTTTTTTCATAGACTTAATTTTAAGTTTAAAAAAATATATAAACGAAGAACACATTGCGCTTAGTTTATAATATAATGGATCGTAACGGAGAATGAAACGGTTTTTCAATACAGGAATCGGAATAAGTAAACTACGCTATACAAACTGCATATATTCGCAAAAAGTTTATCTGTAATGAATAATTAATTTTGAATGATTCTTTCTCATTAATTTTAGATTTAAATCATTGCAATTCGTCTAAAAGAAAGCGACAACATGAAAATATAGATATTTTTTTTAATTAATTGATTGTGAGTTTATAGCACAAAATATGGGGTGGAATAAATGCTTACCTTTTCCGGGTTCGAGCTCGTTTATGAGCGGTGTGCAGGTCACCGTTGTGGTCACCAGCAGGAGCACGACCGTCCGCGACCACATCTCCATGGCTACTGTGTTGGACTTCGTCTTGGACTGACGGTCAGCGCGTCAAAGACCGCATTGATGCGCATGCACAGCTCGTTCCTAACTTATAAGCTCTATTTAAATATCGATTTTGAGTACGAGTAATATTGTAAAGCACTTGATAAGTAGAAAGATGTAGCATTGGGGCTTGTAAGGACTAATAAACTTTTAAAATCTGATTCGATAGATTTATTTTTAGGCGACAAACATGTATTTTGGATTAATATAATTTAAACAACTTTTTCCCCGATGAAAATATGTAATTTCGACACAATAGCTTCTGAAGTCGGGGCTTTCTATACGCCGACTACTGAAGCTATTATGTGGAAATACATTTTTTTGAGTTCTTTAAATTTTAAAAGTCTAAAATTTTGATCCTTTTGAATGGACTTAGGAATATTACAAGTTATATTTTTCTACCCTTAGGTAGGTGGACCCATGAAAGTATAAACTATGTAATAAGAATATTATACCTGCAGCACGATTGGGTTAGTTTGACCGGGATAGGACCACGCTCTCCAGAATACATGCTTAACGCTGCTCCTATGGTGAGTTTAGGGGACTAGAGACTTTTTACTGGTAACGAGGCTTTATATGATGGCATAATCCTCAGGGATGACTATTATTTGAGGATAGATGTAGATGTATTAGTAGTACTATCAGGTGGACTGTGCGATTGCTTATTCTGTAAAAAAGAACAAACAGTTGAATTGAGAACTTTCTTCATTTTTTGTAGTCGACCAAACATTTTTAATGTGTTTAAGTTTCCCTTGTTTTATAAATAAATTTAAAAAAATCTGTGAATTCGGACGGGACCATAAAAGCTATGAAACATGCGTTATCGTGCCTTTAATGTTTGTTTTGGAACCAGAATGACAACCTCCTTCTTAGCGTAGTGGAGGCGCCGTGACCGGTCATTGCCTCTGAATTGCAGTTATTTCGTAATGCAAACAAAATCAGCCATCATTTACAAATATTTTCAATATTTTTAAACTTGTAACTACTAATAATTTTTATAACATTGGTATATTAAATGAAATATAAACATCTTAGGAATATTGTGCTGATTTTGTTTTTCATCTTGGAAGTCAATGTCCTATGGTAATAAAATGCAAATCAGATTACTACTAAAGAGAAGAATTTTTATATTTAGTTCTCCACCCGTATTCTATCAATTGAATTTAATATTATATGGTCTATAGATTTTTACTAATTAATTTTTAGGGTAATACATCTATAAAGGTAAATGCCAAACAAAGCACAGAAAATTTTCGAAAAATGAAATCGAGGCCTTTCTCCGCTGGTGTTATTGATTCTAAGAAAAGAGAAGTCGCAAGGGTACAAAAACTGACAGGAAATTCACCGAAACGAATCACTAGCTGTAAACATGAAAATCTAATAGAAGAACTAAAAGATACAAACGAACGAGTCAAGGCTCTAGAACTATTGAATGTCCAACTAACAGATGACAATAAATTGCTTCGAAAAAAATTAGATCAAGTTGATGATGAAAAACATATTGTAGATTTAAAATTAGCAGAATGTGAAAAATTCATTAGTAAATTATCAAGAGAGTACGAAAACAGAAATTCGGAGGTTAAAACGTTAAAGGAAAATGAAAATAGAGTAAAGGCTGAGTTAAATAAAGAACGAAATGAAAGGAGAAATTTAATTACACAACATGAAAAAGATGTTATTATTATTCAGGATCTTCAAAGACAGGTTAAAGAAATGGAAATTATTTTAAAACGCAAGCACCCAGATTCAGTTTCTGCTTTGATAGGTAAGGTTATTGTTCTCATCTCTTGTTTTATTATTGCTTGATTTTTATTTTCGAATTGATAATATTTTAGTAGCTTCAAAGTCATCAGCAGTTGAAGATAATAAAAAGAAATTGTTAGAAGAACGCATCTCCCGGTTAGAACAAGAGTTGAAAGATAAAGAAAATCACTTTCAAAGCATACTTATAACGTTACAAGAAAAGTTCAGTGATATGAAACAGAAATACGAAAGTCATATCATTGACGTTGAAAGACAGCTTATGGAAGACCGCAAAGTTCATACGAATCTTAAAAATAAAGCCAATAAGACAAATTTAAAAGATGCAGCTGTTCAAACTTTGACTGAATTCCGACATACTGTTGGAACTCAAACGTTTCTAAAACCAGACAGAGCTTCTTCAGCTGTAAGTCGAATGTCGCAAAACTCTGCATTGTTTTTAAACAAGTTAAAAGAAGACAGCTATCTCATTGCTACCATAAAAGGATTGCAAGCAGAGTTGACCTCGAAACAGCGCATCATCTCTAAAATTAACAGAGAAACTGAAGAACTTAGAAAAAATCTGCGAAATTTACAAAAAGAGAAAGAAGGTATGTAGAAAACTACCACACTTAGGTTTAGTTCCTCCTTAAAACTATTACTTGTTTATAGTATAAATTATACCTACCCTCCAACCACGCAACCAATCACTGGCTACCGCACCGTGAGGGTGACAAACGACCATGTTGCGAGGCTGTATATCACGGAGCAGGCTTAAACATGTTTGAGAGAGGCGAGTTGAAAACATTTGTTTGTTCATTCAGCAGTGCAACGTTACCTCTATTATTTTTTAATATAAAAATAAAATTGTTTGTGACGAATGCGAAGCCGTTTACGTGGGTCAGACTGGTCGCAAGTTCGAAACACGTTATAAAGAGCATTTAGCCGCGTACAGGAATTGTAATTCCGATAAATCACATTTTGCTAAACATCTCTTGGACACTGGACACAGCCTAGCCAATGACCACTCCTTTAGAGTCTTACATACTTGCAATACAGGGCTACGACACTGTGTGCTGGAACAGTTAGAGAGATTAAAAAATAATAGCGGTAACGGTGCACTGCTGAATGAACAAACAAATGTTTCCAACTCGCCTCTCTTAAACATGTTTAAGCCTGCTCCTTGATAATATACAGCCTCGCAACATGGTCGTTTGTGCGGTGGCCAGTGATTGGTTGCCTGGTTGGAGGGTAGGCGGACGTTTCGCTGCAGTCTGTTGTTAACTTCACAGCAAATATCTGCGTACGTCAGGTGGTGATTGATCGCATGACGTAATCACTCTCTACGTAATTGGAGCGCGGTTGCGTCAGAAAGTAGTATAAATAGCAGTAGTTTCGGCCCGCCGCTCACTGCGCCTTCTTTTCCCAAAATAGGGTCGCTTCCGATTCGGCAGAAAAGCCTAATAAGCCAATGCCAGTCCCATGGGTGGTGTTTAGTGGGTACATTTAGGGTTGTTAGGTAGTTTAGTCACAGTGAGTCCCACATAACCACGACAGCTGGCTGTCGTGATATGCATAAAGCATTCACCACCTCCTCGCCTTAACGGGGTAGCCCTTTTCATTTGCTTTTGGGCGCAAAAAAAAAACTCGCCGCTCACTTAGCGGCCAGCCTCCGCAGAGTTTACTTCACCTGAGGATGCCTCGTGTAGAGGCGAAACACATGTCGTATTTTCGAGAGTGGTGTGTCGTGCCTAGTGTGGTGCTACTGAGGATGGTAGTGCTGAGATAGACGGCGAAGGGTATAGTGCGCGCGATTGAGGGAGGGTGAGAGGTCCTCTTAAAACTGAGCAGGACACATCATTTACTTTCTTTACTCGGAATTAAGCAAATTAGTTCATAACAACCCCATTATAATGGATTTCCGCAAAATAACGCCTGATTCTATTAATTATTTCTAAGATTATTCGTCTTACAGAAAAAATTGTCGTAATAGCATTCAAAATAATTAAATAACCCTCCGACATTAACACAAACTAGTTATTTCAATATTACAGACACAGTATTCAACTGTATTTACATGTATATAGGTATAGTACAAAAACTTTATTTCTTTGTTATGATAGTGTTACTGAACATACACCCACAAAAGAAAACACCGTGCAAGCCGACTAAATCTGTCGAAAATATATTCTCTAAGGTGACAACAGAACTGGAAGCGGAACTTTCCGAAGTCATAAAACAAAAAGAGACGCTGGTACAGGAAAAAGCAAGTTTGCTTGATTCGCTGAAACGAACGAATGAAGACTATATTTTATTGAAGAAGAAGCGAATACAAGACGTATGTTCCATTTGATTAAATCATCTAATCTTTTTTTATTTACAAGTAGTTATATTTCAGAAATAAGGTTTTGGAAGATTTTTAATTTATATCGATGCAGGCGATCCTATATTCTAATGCGGTAACAGGCGGTTTGTACATTTTTGGTCTCACAATTCGGTTTTCACTATTAGCTATTTGTCCAGATTTTTAGATAATGTTTCCAGTAATTTTTAATTACTTAAGATGTTTATGGCTGTTTTTGTAGATGTCTGTTTATGTATATGACTGTCTATTTATATGGCCCATAAACATTGCCATGAAGATAATTCTGTACTAGTTTGTTGTGTAGAGCCTTGGTAGCTTAGGGTTAAGTATACCACTATATAATCCCTGCTTTCACCAATAAAATTGTTGATCGCAATATTTCTAATTAATAAACTCGGGCGTGAAGGAAGACATCGTGAGGCATATCTGAGGAATAAACATATTTCGAAGATGTGTGACGTTCTCTAACGTGCACTGGAGCAGCGCGGCGGACTAATGGTAATGGTTCAAAGCCCTCTCAGAAATGAGGGTAGGTTCATTTGTTTTATATCCCAACGGTAGTTAGTTTGGCTGTGTGATAAAATAATGGTGATTAGAGAATCCATTACCCCTTTTTGATGTTGTAAATGTCTACTATCAGGAAAGTGACATTTTCGTCTTTGTAGTAAATTATTCGAAAGGTGATGACGTGGTGTAGATCGGTCAGGAGATTGTTATATGCTGAAGTAACACCCAGTCCGGTGAAAAGGATTAAGGTAAAAGGTGCGAAACGTTTGGTACTTGCCAGACCGCCGACGTACGAGGTCTATGTCAAGCGGTGCACCGTTTACGGGGGTACTGTGTACGTACGTCATGTATACAGTGATTGTGATTAGAAAAGGGTGATGTCAGACAATAGCTCTTATGCTACTGCAGCTGGTATTTTTTTATAGAAGCACAGGCTGTGAGGCATTACATCTTAGTCCTCGGAGGTGACAACGCATCTGTGGCCTTTTTTTCTGAAGTTGGCTGCAGGTAGTCACGGAATGCAGTAGCCACTTACGATCAGGTGGACTGTAAATTCGTCTCTCAGTTTTATAAAAAAGCAATTTTTGAACTCGAGGTTAAAAGTTGAAAGAAATTTTACATGGTAGAATGCTGCTCACCTGATGGTAAGGTATACCGTATGAGGTCGCTCAGCGAGCTATGGAGAGCGCTATGCTCGGGGATTCTCTGCGTGATAGACTTAAAAATGAAGATATCCGCATTAAAACCAGAGTAGTAATAGCATAAAACATAGCCCAACAGATTAGCAAGCTGAAGTGGCAATGGGCCGGCCATATAGCTCGAAGAACCGAAGACCGATGGGGAAGAAAAGTTCTCGAGTGACAACCTCGTACCGGCAGGTGAAGTGTAGGGCGACCCGCCACTAGATGGTGTGACGACCAGGTAAAACATGCAGGAAGTCGATGGATGCAGGTGGCTCAGGATCGTGCATTGTGGCATTTTTGGGGGAGGCCTATGGTCAGCTGTGGACTTGTGAAGGGCTGTAATGAATGAATGATGGTAAGCGACTACCGTCATCATGAACAGCTGCAACATCAGAAGAGTCGCGTAAGTGTTACCGGTCTTTGAAGAAAAAAAAAGGCCTTTTTTTAAGTATATTTATTTGTATTATGTCTGTTGCAAAATATTTGTTTGTAAAATATTTTTTGCACAGCTCCACACGTTGCAATTGGCGCATGAGAAGGAACTAATGCAGATGAATATGCAGCTGTATCCATTACAAGAGGAGATCAAACTTTTGAATCGTACGGTGGAGATTTTACAAGAACGACTGCGAGCGGCGGATGAAAAACTATTAGATTGTCGCTCTGCTGTAAAGGATCCTGACGTTAGGGCTGGGGGTGACAATCCAAGTTCTAAGAATATTCGTTGATTTTTTTTTACATTTATTTATATTCAAATAATGTTAAATACTGGATATTGTTTGCTGAAAGTGGTGGATAGAGGTTATCTTTTTTCTATTAGTTTTAATTATATGCGTAAAGATTTCGTCTATTGTATATTTTAAGTAAAAATTCTCTCTATCAGAATGCGCATTGCGATGCTATTTGGTTTTTTCTTGTGGGATTATATAATTTAATCGCGCTGTTTTTATCTCTTAGTAAAAGATATAGGCACAATTTTGTTCCTTACTTACACGCATGTAATTGATATTCATTGGTAAACAGTACGCTTTTATTTACACTTAAAACATAATATAAGACATTTTCGTATTAAGGTTTTGCAAGGAGGCTCGATGGGACCACGATTAAAGATGACCTAATTGTAAGTGTATTAGTGCCTAGCCTGTCTAGTGGTCATCGTTTTTTGTACTGTGATGTTTTGGTACTTATTATAAACACACAAAATATTATGTAATATAGGAATAGCCTTCTTGATACTGTGCTTATTACGTAAGGCCTATAGTGAGTTCTATATCTAGTCAAATATTTTCATGGCATTTTTTACCTTGCAATATACGAGTAATTATTGTGGTGCCTTCATAGATGTATTGAATAAAATAATATCTTTATATACTAAATGAGTTTTATTTATAACTAGTAGTACTCGTCCGCTCGTTGCTGAGGTTCCAACAGTTATCCAATATATCAAAAATAATTTTTTGTTTGTTCGTATTTTATACTATAAACAAACGTATGTCAACTATAAAATATAAATCTTTGTCAACGTCAAAAGGTTATAAGCATAGTACAATTAACTTGCAGTGGGTGGCGATACGCACATACCTTCATTTGAAAGTAATATATCACTCAACTTCAATAAATGTATTAATAATCTGAATTACACAATATAACTCTTCCTTTAAAACTATATATCTACAATTATTTTTTTCTGCGGCAGCAACGCGCCAGGTACCGGCTAGTAGTGTACATAGAAACACGTGCGTTAATTAAATGCAATATTATGTCGAACTTTCAAAGCTATCGGTGAAAAACTTTCGAAGATTAAGATTTTAAACAAACGAAAATTTAAATGTTTATTTATAAAGATTATCATAAAATAGAAACTGACATCCTTTTGAACTCATTATTTATTTATTTTTTATAGGATATGGTGACAAACTAGCACACAGTCCAGCTGATGGTAAGTGATTGCTGTGGCCCATAGAAATCTACATTTATCCTCGTTTGCGAATCAAAATGCAGATACGTTGTCACCCGTGAGGACTAAGATGGAATGCCTCTTTCGGCGTCAAATAGCAGCTATTTGACGCTGGGATTCTGTGAGAGCGTGGTCCCTTCCCGGTCGAGCCGACCCATTCGTGCTGCAACTATACTACCAATATAGCTGCAGCATGGCTCTACCACGTACAAAATCAACCCTGAAATGCATGATTTTAACGGAAAAAATCATATAAGTAACTTGAAATATATATATATATATATATATATATATATATATATATATATATATATATATATATATATTATAAGTCTCCTCAGTGACCGGTTTCGCCGAAATCGATCAACTGGGTACCTTCTAGCGTATGCCACTCACATATGGGGCGAAGCCCTCGAGAACAATGACGAAGCATTGTTTATACGTGGTAGAGCCATGTTGCAACTATATCAGTAGTGTAGTTGTAGCACGAATGGATCGGCTCGACCGGTGAATGATCACGCTCTCACAATACCAGCGGAAAATGCTGCTGTGTTTCGTAAGGTGAGTGTAGAGAACCGGAGAACCATTTTACTGGAAAAGAGGCATTCCATCTTAGACCTTACGGCTGACGACGCATCTGCATTTTGATTCTTTATTGAGGATAAATGTAGATGTTTATGGGTCATAGTAACCACTTACATCAAGTGGACTGTGTGCCCGTTTGTCACCCTATCTTATAAAAAAAGGCACTTGCTGTTTCCTTCGATATTTCGAAAGCCTTCGACAGGGTTTGGTACGTTAGTCTATTGGGCAAGCTTTCAGCGTACGAGGGCGGCACTGAAAATTTCGGGAATCAAGGAAGTGACACAACATTACTATTTAAAAATGTATTTATTGCTTTTCGAAGTATTCTCCGCGAAATTTGACACATTTTTCCATACGATGGAACCAATCATTGAAACAAACATTCCATTCGGAAGTTGGGGTCTCCAAAATGGCCGTTTAGTAGGCGTCCACAGCTTCTTCAGGTGATGAAAATTTCTGTCCACGCAATTTATTCTTTATTTTAGGGAAAGTACAGAAATCATTAGGGCTTAGGTCGGGGCTGTACGGCGGATGGTCTAATAATTCTATGTTTTCTTGCTCTAAAAACTCTTTTGTTCTGTGTGCGGTGTGAGAACTCGCATTGTCGTGATGGAGGATGATGCGGCGGTTGCAGTTCTCTTTACGGAGTTCAGAAACGACCTGTGGCAAACAAATGCTAGCATACCATTCTGCATTAACCGTTCTTTGTCCCTCAAGAGGAATAGTCGTAACATGGCCGGTTTTGTAGACAAAGGTGGCCACCATTTTTTTTTGCAACACTCCGTGAACGGACAATTTTTGTTGGCTTTAACTTATTTTCGAACACCCAAACTCGTGACTGGTTTTTTGTTTCGGGTTTGTACGCGTATATCCAGGATTCACCACCTGATACGATGTTGTATACAGCATTTGAGGATCCTGCGTGGAATCTTTCGAGAGTATTGACGCACCAAGTAACGCGAGCCGCTTTTTGCTCTTCACAGAGTGAATGCGGTATCCATCGGGAAAACAACTTTTTTACACCTAATTGTTCATGCAAGATTATTTGTATTTGACTCATGCCAATGTCTAAAGTTGCCTGAATTTCGCGGTATGTCACATTTCGATCTTCCTCAATCAGCTTACGCACAGCATCAACGTTTTCTTGGGTGACTGCAGTTTTTGGACGACCTTGACGGGGATCATTACTGAGCTTGACATGTCCACGTTGAAATTCAGCAAACCAGCGATAAATTGTGGTTTTGGTTGGGGCTTCATCACCAAATGCAGAAATCATCCGGTCAACACACTGTTTTTGTGTTAAACCACTTCGAAAGTCATAATAAATCATCGCTCTTGAATTTTCTCGAGTCAATTCCATTTTCTCAACGACTAAACAAGTTTGACAAAACCTTGTGACAAGACCGAGAATCTTTTTTTAAATAAATAAATGGTATTCGATTTTTAAAACCAAGGACTTTTCAATTAAAAAGATTTTAATATGACAGGAACAGTGAAAATATTCCATTCCCGATACTTTTAGTGCAGCCTATGTAAGGCCTGATTGACTGGGTTACGGACTTTTTGAGTGAAGGATTTCTCAGAGTCGTCATCGATGGCTGCTCGTCCTGTCCTATCGCGACAAACGCCAGAATTCCTCAGGGGTCCGTTCTCTCCGCAACTCTCTTCCTTCTGCATATAAATGATCTGCTCATTCCCGGTATCTATGGGTATGCAGACGACAGCACAGTTGTGGAGAGATACCAACCAAGTGCCCGGGCCAGTCGGGTTCAAATCCAGTCAGAAAGAGAGACTATAGTTTAGCGTGTGAATCTCACACTACAGGCAGTCTCCAAATGGGATAGTCGGAGAGTGGGGTCCAATCTCGTGAGATTCAACTCCGCCAAAACACAAGCGTGTCTTTTCATCGATAAAAGGAGCCCGCTCACTCTGGCTCCTACTTTCCGGAATGTCTCCTTGGAGTACCCATATTTCACACTTCTCTCTTCGTCCCTTTCAAATACCAGAACCTTAGTTTTATTAGCATTCAAACGGAGACCTTTAATTTCACATTCCTCTTTCATACGCGTGACTAATGCCTGCAGTTCTGCCTCTGATGGTGCAATAAGCACTGCATCATCAGCATACAGCAGACAATTTACTTTAATGTCACCCAATTTCACACCCAACAGCTATTTTTCAGCTTCTGTAAACAGCTGTCGAGATACAGTATGAACAGCCAGGAAGACATGACACAACCCTGTTTTACGCCCGTATTGGCTTGTCTGACCGCCTTCAGTTGTTAGGGATTGAATTTTCTCCGAACCTCTACTATGGGCGGTTCATTGCGTCTAGCGCCAAAGCAGCCGCAAGAAAACTTGGTGTCCTTGCAAGAGTGCGGCGGTACTACACGCCGGGGCAGTTTCTTACCTTATATAAAGCACAAGTCCATGGAGTACTGCTGTTACATATGGGCTTGTGCTGCTAAATGCCACATGGCAGCGTTGCACTCAGAGGAGAGACGTGCTAAGAGGCTTATTGGTGACCTTGATTTGGTTGAAACCAATCTTGTTAGGCTCGAGCACAGGCGCAGAGTAGCCACTCTCTCGGTATTCTATAGGATACATTTTGGTGATTGTGCGCAAGAATTACACGCTTTAATTCTCGCCTCTCCTTTTTACCATCGGACAACCAGGCGGTCGGCGAGTCTTCACCCCTTTGTTGTCGATATTCCACGCATTAGAACCAAGCGGTTTTGTTCGTCTTTTGTAATACGAAGCAAAGGAGTGGAATAATTCTTATATCTTTAAATCTTTCCGTCTTAATACAATCTGGGCGTCTTCAAGGCAGGAGTGAATAGGCTTTTGTTACGCTAAGACAGTGCGATTTACCATCTAAGGCTGCGTCACCACTTACCACCCGGTGGGATTGTGCTCCAGCACTGGATTATAATAAGTAAAAAAAGAAAATGACACATGGCGCGGTACTGAGTCCTATCTTGGATATGGAGGTCAAAAAGTGCTGAAATTCCTTCCCTTAAAAATCCTCCAGGGCGCCCTAAACCGCTGCCGCAACGCACAACATCGGCTTATGCCTACTATTGCAGTATGGCAGGTTGCTTTAGCAGTAGTAGTGGAGCCCCATCGCGTCCCCCACCATCTCTGATGGTTCAGCGATAAATCGGGCTCCATAGAAATTTACTCGGCC